TTTGCAAGATATTCTCAATTTCAGGCCTCATTTTCCACCCTCTGAAATTGAGCCAAGAAATCTCTCTATCTAATATAATCAAGAAAGAGAATTCCTTATAGAAACTAGTTATTTTATCAGGATCATGTAAAGTCTCAGAAAACTATTTTGCATTTTGCTAATTGTGCTATATAGTGCTTTAGTGCTTAAGCAGTATTTCAAATGTGCTTATTTTTAGTTGAAAGATTTCACTACGCACCCTGTATAAGATCAATTTTAAAATACACGTGTTTGTTGAGGATAAAGAGTTACATTATTGATACTTGGATCCCCATCAGTATGTAAATCATTCGAAAGCTTGGCTGATAAGGCATCAGCTACTTTCTCTAAAATTCCCTTATCTGGGTTTGAGTTATCAGAGTTCATCGCCCAACCAAGAATTTTACTTGAAAGCGAATTATTGTCGGAGGATTGTTTTGAGATGTTCGAATTTCTTGATTATTTACCTGAATTGATGCTGCATTTCTTTCAGGTCTACGTCTAAGGGTTGGAGGCAAGCAAATGTTTTTATTATATCAATTTTGGTTGTGGTTAGGGAAAACATGAAAGGTTTGCGCAGTTTTTTATATACACATTGTGATTGTGTGATTTTTTATATACGCATTGTGTGTGTGTGTACGAAAAAAATATTTCAGTTAATGCCCTCAATATTATATTTTTAAACTTCTCGCGAAAATGTAGTAAAAAAATAATAGTCGCAAATAAATTAATATTAAGTAAGAACGAAACAAAAATTATATCAAAATATGCTGAATCACTAGTGGGACAGGTGAGATAAAAGACATCGAAACCAATTTGATTGAATAGTAAAGCTAGAATGTGTTTCTAAAATCCGGAAATCAATAATTTTTTTTTTTTTTTTTTTTTTTTTTTTTTTTTTTTTTTTTTTTTTTTTTNATTAAATATTAAACATTAACAAATATTTGTCTTTTAAAACCTTTCACTCTATAATAATTATTAATTCTATATTAATTCTATAATAATCTTATAATAATTATTCTATAATTGTAATTCTAAAACTAATTGCTAATTGATATAAAGCTTCAGTGTGTTCCATTGATACATTAAATGTCTTCTATCGGTGGAACCCCGACATTACGATTAAAGTTTATTAAGGTAATTACGAACATTATAACCTAAAAACAAACTATTTTCAAAATATTTAATTAGAGGAATATAGATTTTTCATCGTTTTATCATTATCAATCTTAAATAAGGTTTTATATTCCTTGTGCTATATCTAGTCTAGTTTTGAATTTATTTTTGGTGTATATACATAAGCTGAAAATTAATAAGATAAGCCGAATTATGGTTCACTTCGAAATGAATTTAAGAGAACTTTCATGAGCGTTAAGAATGATAATTTGGAAAGCATTTTTTTAAAAAAGAATTTAAATATTTTAAGTTGATTTGAAAGGAGAGATAAGAAATACTAATGCAATATTTTATAAATGCTATTTTTTCTCTCCATAATTTGTTGGTAATATGATGCTGATTTTTTTCATAATTGCTGAACTTCATAAATAATCAAAAGTACTTGAAGAATAATTGTACTTGGGAATGCATAATAAATGAGAAGTAATTTTGCTTGTTAACAATATCAAACAAAGACTTAATAGTTCGCATTGAAAATAGTTTTCGTCGGTAATCTCTCTTCAGTGTTGTATTTTAAGAAATTTCGATGTAAATGTTAACATTTATATCTGGCAATATTTAAATTCTCTCTTATTTTTTATCTTTTTTTATTTTGTTTTTCTTTTTTTTGACATCAAGTAAAGCGCGAAAATGCTTATAAAATGAAAATTGCGTGAAAGATAAACTTTTCTACAACAATGGATAAATTATTATTATTTATTGCTAATTTTATTGCTAATTGATATAAAGCTTCAATGTGTACCATTGATATATTAAATGTCTTCCATCGGCTGAACCCAGACGTTATGATTAAAGTTTATTAAGGTAATTATGAACATTATAACCTAAAAACAAACTATTTTTAAAATATTTAATTAGAGGAATGTAGATTTTTCATAGTTTTATCATTATCAATCTTAAATAAGGTTTTATATCCGACAGTTAAATTTGCAGCCCTTATGCTATACCTAGTCTAGTTTTGAATTTATTTTTGGTGTATGTACATAAGCTGAAAATGAATAAGATCAGCCGAATTACGGTTTGCTTCTAAATGAACTGAAGATACTTGTTATAAACGTTAAAAATGGTAATTTGGAAAGCATTTTTCAAGAATGCCAAGTATCCAAATGACTTAATTCATTAAATTTTTAAAAAAAAATTTAAAAAATATCCGCAAGGCAGGTATATTTGGGGCTGATAATTATGAAATCTAACACAAAACTGAGGTCGTGGTTTCTATTCCAGCTGATGACAGTTTTTAATTATTATTTCTTAATACTGAAAATTTTTTTTCTTATTTTTTTTAAGTATTCATGTTAAAAACTAATAATTTAACAATTATTTAAAAAACTAGAAGGCTCCGCTCCCTGTTCACTTTGTTCACTAAACCTCGTGATTGCTTCTGCATTCATTGTAGATTAAGAGTTATATATTATATATATATATCTTGCATCCGGTTTATTTCCATTTTTTTTCAACAAAAATTACGATTGAATTACCATTTTCTTTTTGAAGATGACTAAATTTAGGCAAATCAATAAAATTGGTACCAATCAATTAAATTGGAAAATTGGTACCTGCCACAGAGTTATAATTCAATGAAGATGGGCTCAAGGGATAGAGCATTCTCCTCCGAATGAGATGGACCGAGTTCGAATCCCAGTGATGGCTGGTGGATATGAATTCCACATCCGGCTTTTACCGACCACAGTGCTGACGTGAAATGTCCTCAGTGGTAGGCGGATCATGGGTCGGAGTCCCTTTGCCGTCAGGATAACTATTCAAATTGGGTTGAACGGATTGGGTTCAAAATTACAAGGCTACGGAGTTGAACATTAATAGTCGTAAACTCGAAATTGGGTGGGCTGTTCAATGACTGTTATAAAATAAACTAATAATTTGGCCACGATAGCTTGGTGAGAATGGGAGTCCGAATAATACCCATGTATAAAATGGTGACTGGTGCATGTTAAATTTGTCGTGGTCATAAACTCCTCCAAGTTCTCATAACAATTCAATACCTCTGGGTACTGATCCAGGAGTTTCCTTGTCTTCTGGATAGGTTTTAAAATTTCAAGGCTAAGTAGTTAATCATTTTTGAGTCAGTTTTTCAACGGCGATTATTAAAAAAACTTATAATCAAATTGTATTTTCTTGTATTCTTTCTAACTCCTTGCATATTTTCGACACACCTTCATAATTTGATGTTTCTAAGTCTTACAGATTTTGAGCTACAAAGCAAAATGTAATGTAAAAAAAAAAATCGAAAAGAAGGTTTGCAAAAAATCATTTAAAATTGCAAATAATATAAACACATATTCAAAATTTATATTTTACAAAATTCAAGCATTATTTGGCCCAGGAGAATAGGTTAGGATAATTAGGTATGAATGACATGTATAAAATAGTGAGAAACAATAATCTCGAAAATACATTTGCAAACATTGACATTTCACTTCGAATTTTTTTGTCACTCATGATAACTAATTGTAGTAGTGAACGTTCATTCTCCAGACTAAAATTAATAAAAAAATGAGTTAAGAAACAGTATGACTCAAGAAAGATTGAGTAATTTGTCAATTATGAGCATTGAATATGATGTCTTATAGGAAATTGATTTTGATGATGCGATAGAAGATTCACCTCTCAAAAAGCGCGAAAAGTATTGTTACCTTAAATTTTTGATAAAAATAATGTATATAAGCTTTAATAATTAATTTACATGTTTTTTTACTCTTAAAAGAAAAATATTTTTAAAAATTATTCAAAATTAATTTTTTTTTCTCTAAATTTACTCATAAAGGGCCCCCAGATAATGACAGAGCCCCCATAAACATAAAAATGGCTTTGGATGTTGTTTTTTTATTTTTATGAGATGAAAGAAATTCGTCGTCGTAGAAAAAGAAATCATTCCGTTCTTCTGTAGAAAAGGACAAATTATATTGAAAATTAAAATATCTATAATGATGATACGATTAGTTCAATATGATTTAAATATTTCATTTTATATGAAAAAGATTAAATAAATAAAAAGGAATAAATAAACTTTTAAACATAGTAAAATCGTAAGCATAGTATTTCGTAATTAAATACTTTTAAAGGTAAGCGAACATCAAGATATTGTTATTCAATATAAACCATTTTGTAAAAATGATCCTCGGCTTGAATTTTAATACCAAAAAAAAAAAAAGCAACATGTATATTTAAATTGTAAAAGTTTCACTTTATTCAAGTCTTTCTTGTTTCACAAAAATCAGAAATATTTGCTCTTCCGAATATATTAGCAATTGTTTTTTAACCTTTATAAGTTGATTTTATTTTTTTATAATTCGTGGAAATCTCAGGTAAATTTATGTTGACAAGCTATGTTTTAAATGTACAAATTCCTAAACTACTCATTTTTAAATGGTAGAAGATAACATCCCCTCTGAATTATTATTAATATTATTATTATTATTTTTAATATGCTCCTTTTCCATTTTTATTTTATTATATTTTGATATTCTGTTTCTGTAAGGATTTACTAATTCTATCACCAGATGGCAGCTCTACATGCTAAAACATGTTTCTAAATTAAGTAAACAGTTTACTTAGTTTAAGTAAACAGTTTACTTAGTTTTAAAAGTAAAAATAAAATTTATATTTATCTTTATATATTATTATATTGTTATATTCTATTTCAGAACAGTTATAACTAAACACTTACTATAAAATAATTAATAAAAATATAACTCTTTTACGCTAATAGTAAGATAAACGACAAAATGAGGTAAACTCTAAAACTAATTATTTGCTGCCACCGAAAAAATAGGATCTTCACTTCCTTTAACGTTGCCATCTTAAAAGAACAGACTTTTCATTCCTTTAATCTAAAGCTATTATCAATTCGAATAGACTCTAACGGATGTTGTTATTACAAAAGATTGTAAACAAAAATTTAAAAGTTATGATAAGATAATAAGTTGGGACAGTTTTTTTTTCTTTTTTTAAGAAAAATTGTATTTTTAAGCGGTTAAACAATTATGTACATTTTGTAACTACTACATATTTTTAAGGTTTTTATATTGTTATATTATTCTTGTTTGTATATTACTTAATTCTTTACTGATTTTATTTTAGACGCTTTAAAACAATTTTACTATAGGTGTCCGTACAAAGATTATTACTTTTGTAATTGTTTTGTTATTGAATACAAGTGAAGCTTAGCGTTGATTATTTTTAAAATTTTCACTCATATACAATACATTTTATATAAGGTAATGAAATATGCATTTTACAGAATTGGGATATTTTTATTTCGATGACTTTTCATTTTATTCAACTTACTATATTCATTTGAAAAATGACAATGTTTTTTATTTTTGCATATATTTTGTCTGTTTTCTGTCTGTCTATTTTCTACATGATTCATACTTCACAGTCTTAATTGGTCCCTAATTATTTTCCAGATGTTTCATGCTGTGACTGTCTTAATTCCTTTATCTCTTTTGTCACTTCACTGAGATTTATTTTATTTTATTGTTCTATTAATGTTTTATTGTACATTTATTTTGTGGATATTCTGGTATTGGTATCTGTTCTCCCAGATTACAATGCTTAAGTGCCAAGGGAATTTTTAACTTGTAAATGTTTCAAAGAAAGCATGAAAAGGTTTGCCCAAGGGTGGTTAGATGGTGGGAAGCTTTTGTTTGACTGCATTCCTTTCAGTTGTTTATTTTTTTTTCATTAGTATTTATCTATTTTGTATGGTAAATATTTTGGATTTCAAGCATTTATTTGGGCAAATCTTATCTTTCAATTACAAGTTGCTTTTTTTGTGATTAAAAATAAATTATGAAAGAAAATAAAGACTCTTTAGACTAACCGTTTGTTATTATTTACTCAAAAAAACAAAACTAAACAGTATTAGAAACTATGTCTCGCTTTAAAACAGAACGGAGAAGAAGTGAGGTAAAAAAAAAGGGGGGGGGGATGATCACTAGAACATGAAACTTATATACTTTTTATCTGAAAATAATCATGAACTCCTTCAAGGTGAGATTTTTAGAAATATATCATTCATAAATTAAAATGATTGAAGCTCACATATTATGTTTTTTTTTTAGATATTTATGCTTAAAATAGAACAAGAAAAATTAAGTCAACTCTCTGAACTATGTAAAAATCATTCCTTTTTGCAAAATTTTTGTTTTTAATTTTCCATTAAAGCCATATACTTAAAACACTTTTTTTTTATGAGAAAATTATTCTAAACTTGGAATAAAGGACTGATGAGTTCATCAAGCTAAATTTTATAAATTCCTAAGTATCCAACAATGCCATCTACTAGGTCCTAGACGCCATGAAAAACCAATGGAATTTCTGCTAATAAAAAATTATTCTCAAGAACCTAGACAGCTTCTTTGAAAAAAATCTATTGCAATTTTGGGTGTAAATTCTTGAATGTTGATATTGTAATTAACTATTAAATCTCTTTGTTATTCATTATTAAATTTCATGCTGCATATAAATGAGGGCTATCGTTTAACACAAATGCTCATATTGTTATTTATCTAATAATACTTATTTTGCAATTAATGCCAGTATTTAACAATGTCTTTTCCGAGTTTAAATTACGTTGGTAATGTATTTTTTACAATTTCATGCCATTAATGGATATTAATTACAAGAATTATTTATAACTATGTTTTACTTATCTGAACAGAAAATTTATGTCTGGTAATGTTGTTAAGATACGACCTTTTGCCAATTGACATCTTATAACTTTTGCTAGGCAGCAGAAAGAGCATATTTCAGTTGAATGTCAAATTATATATATTATATAATTTTGCTGTAGCAACCTGTTAAACTAATAAATAATAATTAAATAGTGAATAAAAAATTTAGAAACATTAATTCCTACAGTAATCAGCAGATGCGCAATCAACATTTCCAAAATGTTATATCGAAAGTTTCTGTTTTTTGATATTCTCCTTTTATGCTAAGGACGGCAGTATAGTATACTTTTGTTTTAGTTACCTACTTATTGTTTTCTGCTAATATGTGTCTTCACTGTGATTGTCATTCTGAGTTTAAGAGTGGTTTTGATATCATCATGATCCTTATGCTCTGTGTCCTATTCATCATTTCAGTGAAATAGAAAATAATATTCCAGTTAACGTAAGTGTCTGAAGCTTTGATTTGCATAGTTAAACCGACCTCCAGCAGCACTATTCAGGCATGCTTCTCTACAGTCAGTGCGTTCTCAATTCTGTATTTTCATGTTTTTGGATTGAACAAGCATCAAGCAATTGTACCAATTTAGAAAGGTGTGCTGCAAGTGGTTTCTTAAAGAAGGAAATTCTTCTTAGTTTTTAAAAAAAAAATTCTACCACTATTATAATTTTATAAGACCTGGGAGATCCCTGTATCAATTGTAACTATTTCAGTAAAACTAAAACATTCTTAAACTGACTTTAAAACAGGGTTTGTAAAATATATTTTTTATTTTTTAAAGTATTTACACTTAACATTTAGATAACAATATTAGGTTTATAACCGTAAATTTTTCTAAGAAATATAAGAATAATATATTGCTACCAACTTGAATGATCATTGGGAAAGATTTTAACAAGTAATAATAAAATTAGATATTTTTAAAAATTAAGCTTTTTCACCAATGCCTATGATTTATCTTGGTGCCTGATGGGTAATAAAATTTTTTTTTTTTTTTTAATTTTTGATTTTAAGACAAATTAATTAAAGCATAAACTTCTATAACTGCGAAAAATTTCTTTGAGAAACTTTCTGATTATATATGCATATAGGAGTCAAAATTAATAAAAATTTTTCACTGATTAACAGAACTAGTAACTAAAGGAAATAACTTGCGGCTCGCATTTTTACTGGTCTTTTTACACATTTTTTTAGACTTTTTTACTTGTATTTTTTAGAAGTTACTAGTTTAAATGAAAAATTACATTACAAAGAAGTTTGCTGAGTTAAGATGAAATATGCTATTTTATGACAATAGCACAAACCAAAACTGAAAAAAAGCATGCTATTCCTTCACATTGATTGCTGGTGCAGAGAAACAGTAATAATTATTTTATGGTGGTGGTCTATATCAAATTTTAGTGGTCCTAGACAAGTGGACCTTCAATAATTTTAATCCCTGATATATATATGTATATAAGCTTTACCCTGCGGGTCAGGGTAAAGCTTATATATATATANAATATATATATATATATATATAAATCTGTGAAGAGCACATTCACCCCTGCCAGTGTAGATTACTGCTTTGTTGCACATAACATTGGTTTTGGTTTTTTATAACGACTTATAAAATAATTCTAACAAGTTTAAAATTGTAGAACTGTGTCTCAGTTTTGTTATATATTTGAGTTTGTTCTATAATATTTTGAAAAAATACAGTTATATATGTAAATTAAATTCTAATTTGTTGCCAAAACAATTTTTTAAAATAATTTTATATCTTTTGTAGATATCTACCACTATGTCAAGTTGGAAAGAATGGGTAGATGAAATTATGAAATGGGCTGCCGAAAATCCCTGGGAGTTTATTTACTATGTTCTGCTTGGACTATCGCCTTTCTTCCTTGCCAGCACAATTTTGTCATGGAGATTAGCTAAACATATTGAAGCAGAAGAACGAAGAAAAATAAAAAAATCGAAGAAAAATGCTAACATGGCTGAAATAAGACGTGCAAAAAATGATTGAGGAATTTTTTTGATATTACATTTATATAAATTGATGTATTTATTTTTCAAAATGTTTATATGTTGATGAGTGAAAATGATGATTAAGTTTGTAATCTTAGAAGTTTTATGATGCAGTTTTATTTATTTTCATTATTTAATATAATATGTGCATCAAATATGCGTAATGTGCAAGAACTGCATTTTTTAGTCGTAATGTATGTATAAGTCATGAATAACTTCCAATACTTTAGTCTCAATATCAAGTTTAAAATAAAATTTTTGTACTATACAAAATTCACAATTCAAAAACATTCACATTTAAAAATTCATTTGAAAGCTTATTTGCTTAAATTAAAAATTAAATCAAGTTTTTTCAAGCGATAAATGCATTATTTTATTATATAATTTTTTTTATTACAGCTTACTCAATTATGTTTGTATTTGACTATTAAAAGCAAATCCAGTATCTATGGATTTTTAGAGAGAAAATGAATTGATAGAATTTATCATACACTTCTTAATCAATTTTATTGTGTAATTTATTTTTGTATTGTGATTCTTTAATCAATAAAATTTTATGAATGCTTAACAATGTATTAATATATATTTTGTAATGGATAAAAATATGTTTATAACTTATGGTTGTTAATACAAGTGAAATAACTAGTTAGCAGTGATGTTTTATGTCATTAAGGGTTTATGTAATTGAATTTTTTTTTAAATTTTATTTTTCAAAGCTATAATTTTATATTAATTTTATGTTTAGAAAAAAGTTTAGTTTAGTTCGTTTCATTAGTTATTACAAACTTTGATTATTTCTGATTGTCTATTTTTTATTATGCTAATGCAAATTGAATATTCATTTCTAAAAATAGACATGTCTTTTCAATTCCCTTACATAAAAGTGTAGCTAATTTAGTTATAAATATATATATGCATGGTATAAGGTTTATTAATTTTATTAGACTTTTATTACACTTTTGTGTTGAACATTTTTGTTTCTATAAAATTAGCAAAAGGAGATTGTTTTAAATTATTTTCCAGCATACTGATAAAAAAAAAAATCATACAACAAAGATTAGAATAAGTAAGATTTTTTTTTCTCATTTTTTACTCTAAAATGTTTAGCTACCTAGCAAATGAATTATAATTTTAATATTAATAAATGTATGCAATGTTCATAAAATGAAAAAAAAAAAATATCAACACCAATTTCCAAATAACATTTTCAAGTAAATTTGTGCTTGATAATTAAGTTAATAAAATTACTATTTTTTCTTTAAAAAAATATATTGTTTACATTTTCTTTGTAATTATTGAAGTTATTTATTATTAAAATTTCTTAAAATCTTTAATTTATTTAACTTTTTTTTTACTTTTAATAATTGCTATTATTTTTAATTCATCTACTAGCCATCATATATGCATTAATCATTGCCTAATGAGCTTATTTTAGATAAATAATTTAATTACAAATTAAATGCGCTTTTGATGCTGATTATTTTTAGGTTTATATATATTTTTATGTTTTTTTTTTAATTCTATTCGATTGATCAACCGTTTTTTGTCAAAACAAAAAAAGTGAGTTTGTATATACAGGTTTTTCTCATAAAGTAATGTCAAAGAAATCTAGTTTTACAGCAGGAAAAAACAAATAGTGAAAAGGACATCTTTTTGCATTGCAAATGCTCAGTCAGTCAAAGGAAGTAATATGCTTCTTTATAGTCTTCAACCATAATTTGGGAGGTGGGTCTGATCTTTAAAGACTCTACAAATTTATGCTGTGATTCATATATTTTTATTATGTTAAGCTTTCTGGCATGCCATGGCATTTTTTTAGTGTTTATACCCAACTAGGAATGCTAGGATAAAAAGAAGAGCTTAGTGAAAGAACACATTAACCCTCTAAACACTGTATTATAGTATAGAAATCTTCTCCTTGTGTATCTGTTTTTCCTTAAATAACATATAGAAAAACCAGTGTGATTTGCAAACAGTTAGGGCATTCAGTTAAGTGGCATTTTAAAAAACATCTAAATTTTAAGAGCACAGCTGTAAGTATAAAGCATTAACCAATAACCATTTTTAATATATTCATTACACCTATGCAGGACTGATTGTGCTCCGGAAAAAATCTGGATTTCCGGGTTTTTCGCTAACCGTGATCCGGAGGTCGAAGGTTCAAACATTTCAAAAAATCATTGATCACAAAAGTTTCCAGAAATCAAATTTTCAAAGGTGGAACTTCAAAACACAGTTTATTTTGTTTTTTAAGGGAGAGCCAGATGCTTTATAAGCTTATATTCAAAATTAATATTTATTTCTTATCAGTAAATAGTTATAATCATAAACTCAAGAAAGAAAGACATATTTGTAAATTTCAATTACTTCTCCTGGTCTTTCATAGGTATGTAAAAAATTTTAAATATATTTTAAGTAAACTAAGAAATATTGAGAAAAAAGAAAAAACCTTGTTTAAATTTTTTTTCTAATTATTCGATTTAAACTTCTTTTTTTTTTTTTTACTTAAGAAATTTTCCGGAATTTTGACTTGGGCTCACAATCAACCCTGCCTATGTGAAAGCATATTGTTGTATCAGCTAATTTATTCTGCCATGTTTTCATATAAAAATATTTCAGCATTGTAAAATTTTTGTTAAGAACTTTGTGTTCTTGACATTTTTTAAAAATGAGTTTTTTAAATAAAAAGAAACAATATTCAACATATTCTTCATATTTGAATTGCTTGAAGATCTTATTTACATATCTGCTTAATAATTTACTTTTGGCATGCTATAAAATGCAATTATTTATTTTGTGGTATGCAGTACAATAACCGGTATGAAAGGGCAAATAGCTAAAACTATAAAAAAGTATATTCAAAAATATAATCATTATAAAAACGTTTATTAAAAGTTTATTGATTAAGTGGTTATAATTTTTCTCATTAAAATTATGCTTTAACTAAATTTGGAATAAATCTTTCATCAAAAAATCTTACCTTTTTCAGATTTTTATTTTAAAAATAATGAATGTTAATAAAGAGAACTGAAATATTAGAAAAGGTTACAATGGTAGTCCTGAATTGAATTATTGTTAAATTTATTTGAAATTGAATCAGTATTGAAAATAAATTAAATTGAATTATAATTGAAAAAAATATATAATTCACTTTGAAACTTTATAGAAAAAGTTAAATCTTATGAATTGTATCCTATGCATCATGTTTTTACCAAGCATATAAAATATAAATAATATTTCTACATCATTTTTCTTCTTAGAAATAAGAAAATGTTTTCTTAATAATATTTTACAGAAACTCAATGCTGTGGTTTAATATTAAAAACAACAAATATCAATACTTGGTGATAGATAATGCAATGAATTAATCATTTCTGACTTTTAACAGCTAGGTCAACCAATGTGAAACTTTTAGAATTCGACACAAAATTGTATTAATTTGAATCTTGGTATAAGCCACATATGGAGTATATATATAGCTAAAAAAAAATTTAAAAAAAAGCATTTTTAAAGCACTAAAAGAAATACTTAGAAGCAATTTTTTGTAAAAAAAGAAAAAGAAGTAAAAGCATGTTTAAATAATCATGATAAAATAAGTTGTTTCTAGCTGAAAACTGTTCTGAAATTTTTTAGCCACCATTAAAACTTAAATGCATAGTTATAAATTTATTCAATATGCTATTGCTTATTCTATTCTTTAAAATAATAACTACTTTATTCAATTATGTAAAAAAAATAATTTTAAATTACAATTAGTTACACTTCATTTTAAAAAAATATTGGGAATGTTTTTTTTTTTAAATATTTAAATAAAAAAAAATTTATAAAATATATGTTAAAAAAAATACTCATAAGATTAATTAATCATGCCGAATTAATAAAGATGTGTAGAGAATAAAGTAAACTAAAAAAAATCGAAATAAATTCTAATTACTAATGTAAATTAAGTGACTGTACCCCTATTATACTTTTATAAAAAATTTTAATATTGTTTAATACTTCTTTAATCAAATGATAAAAAAAATAGTTTCAATAATTTTGAAGTTAAAATATAGTGAGTATTGTAGCTAAGCATTTTTGTCCGAAGATCCTTATATTCAATATTATTTAACAAATCTGAGATACATTTATAGTTAATTTTAGTTATTTTTAAATCAGATGATAAAGAGATTAATTAAATATTTTAGAAATGACAAATCTGAATCACATAAGATTCCTTACTGCATTTGCTATAAATGTTTAAAAAAAAGTAAAAACAAAACCTAAAATCTTACTTATCTGAAATCCTGTCTTTAGAAATTATTGAAATTTTATCAATAACTAGAGTAAGAACAAATCCAGCGAAATAAGATTACAATATAAAACCTAAATATTTTATACAATTGGAGAACAGTCTCTCAGATATGAACTCCCAAGATTATAAAACCGTAATTAATTCTTTATTGAATTAAATGGAGAGAAAAAAAAATTTGAATTGATGAAGCACTGGAACCATATGTAATTAGAAAATTAGTGAACAATCCTCAAGTTAAGTTCAAGGATTTTGGTACTGTTCTACAAGTAGACCAGAGAGAGAATGCTGTTGGTTTTAATGTAAACTATGGCATTACATCAGCAAAGAAATTATCGAGAACTAAAACAAAATTTATTTTTGTTATTGAGGAAATATTAACTAATGTTTAGTTTGTCTTTGTGATCAGCAAAAAATAAGTCAGGTTTTTGGATTGATTTCAAAAGGCGAAAGATAAAGCCTGAAATCCGGAGTCTCTAAAATGCAGCAAAATTGCATGCATGAATGTAGGAATCCTCTATATCCCTAATAAAAACTAAATGCTCCCTGAATTATTAAAAGAAACTGATATGAATTGTTGAAAAAAAACATGTATAAAAAGAACACCCAATTAAAAAAAATAAAGATGTTTGAATTACTTTCATTTCAGTCACTTTTATGGTGGCAGCTTTTTTTTTGTATGAAAGATAATATATATTTTACGCCTTGAAATTTGAATGACTAAAAAAGTTTTGTTTTCATTTCTTGAATCTTTCTAAAGATTCAATGTTTGTTTTTAAATAATGCCTCTAATTTTAAACCCAACATTACGCTAAGAATAATCTTTTTGCTTGCAAGAAATATAATTAAAATTATGCTAACCAATCAAAATCTTGTACTTATACAAACATTACTTGCTTCCTGTTAATATCGTAATGTTTATAAATGTTCGATTTCATATATCTTATGTATGATTCTTTTTAAGCTCTGTTGTGTAGAAAATCCTTATTACTGTGTACACATTGTACTATTAATTTAAATCTTGTGGCATGAAGATTGTCTTCTATATGTCTGGTACTGTATATCTCAGATTTTATAACATGAAATTCGTGTGCAATGTCGATACTGTTTTAATTTTAAAAAATTTGTCTAGGAATAATTTTGTATAATTTATTTTTCAGGAGTTGTAATTGTTCAGTTTCGTAAAAATCATTTAAAAAAACTTATTTTAAAATACTGTAAGTATAACAGAAGTTTTAAAAGTTCTGAAATTATTTTTGTTGAACTGTTACAAAAGT